GCTGCCGGCAGGGATCTGTGCAGTGAATCCCGAGCTGCCCAGTTCTCAGCGGTGTCTCTCCCAGTGCCATCTGCCGGTCACTGCCTGGCTGGGCCGGCCGCGACCGTGACCTCGAAACACCCCTCGGGCAGCTGCTTCCCTGCAGGAGAGCTGGTGCTGCTGGGCTCCTGCAGCAGGGATCTGGGAGAAGGGAAATGTGGGGCTGCAGCAGGGATCTGGGAGAAGGGAAATGTGGGGCTGCAGGGCAGCTTTGCTGGGGAAAGCAGGGGCAGGACGATGGGGGGAAAGCAAAAAGCCGAGGTCGGATACCAGCGCTGCTCCTGCGCTGCGAGTTCCTGCCCCACAAAGCCCTTTCCCCACATGCTGCTCCCAGATGGATGTCCTGAAGTGGAAATGCTGCAGAAACACCGGGTCTGGGGACTATCATTTGTAATTAACTTCTTTCTGTGCTGCAAGGATGAAATTGTGTGTGTTTAGGGCGTGAGAGGCTGGTGCTGGGCTTCCTAAAACAGGGAGCCAGCAGCGATCCAGCTGAAGTTTTGATTGTTTGGTTTTTTTCTTGCTCTGAGCTCTCTTTCTCTTGCTTTCCTTGCCCAAAAATTCCTGGTGGGGACACATTTTTGCTTTGCACTCAGCTGGGTGCCCGGGGAAAATTCCCTACGTCATCCTCAATCCCCATGTCACTCTCACTGTCACTGCTTTTAGATGGGTTTAAAAACACTAAGTTACACCCTTACAAAAGCAGCACCTGGATGCTTTTGAAAAGCCGAAAAAATCCTTCGGCACCCCCAGAAGTCACGTTGGTTTTTAGGAATTCTCCCTGAGCACACAGTCAGGAGCATTTTACAGGTAAAATAAGTGGCTCCCAGGCCTTCAGATCCTGCAGCAAGACACTGCACACCCCACACAGACTTTAACAAAAGGATTTATTCAGTGCACAGGACAGAGCAGCAGGTGGGAGGATATGAACAATGCAGGTCATCCTCCACCTCACCTGTGTAAGAAATCAAAGGATGCAATCACCAGAGAAGGGACTGTATCTTCCAGTTATCTTCCTCCCACCGGTCTGGAAAGCTTGTCACATATTTAACACACCTGACTGGGAATCCTCGGGTGAAGGGAAATGTGGGGTAACAAAACACAGTGTCTCAGATAATGACAGTGTTTCTGCAACAAGTCCTGGAGCCGCCAATGACCTGTAACATCATCACTTGGCTCTCTTGAGCTCAGATTGTACCGACTCGTGTGGTGACTTTTTTCTCCTGGACCAGGTTCCACCACACACAGATTACATGCCAAGGGGAATCTGTACCTAAATTCAAATACACAGAAATTATGTAAAGAAAGAAGCCATGCTAGGGAAAGCTGTATGAAGGAGATGGTGGCTCCTCTCAGGGCTCAAGGTTTCTCTTCTGTGCGTGCACAAAGGTGAAGGCACAGGCGTAAAATAAAGCTGTGGCAATGGATAATGGCAATAACTGAGGAGTGGGACATGGGGCAGAGACAGGAGAGAGGGAGAAGGCAAGGGCTGCAAGGGTGTGAGGAGCAGCAGGGAGAATATCTGGCCAAAGCTACACCAGAACCAGGAGGGAAACGGGAAAATAAAAAATCCTCTCTTTGGACAAGAGGGGAAAGAGATGAAACTTGCCCAAATCTGAGACAAACAGACACATGGGGAAGGGAAAAGAGCATTTTTGCTGGAGGCTCATCCTGACGAACAGCAGAAAACACCAAAGCCAACCACCATGTTTCATCTACAAACACCAAAGGCAACCACCACGTCTCTTTTTGCCGCTTGGGTCCTGCTGTCCCTGGGCACACGGTGCGGCGGGGCCTGCCGGCCACACGGCTGGGGGGACAGCTCACCACTCCCACCTTGCAAATGGAACAGAAGCCCAGGCTGGCCAGGAAGAAAGGAGAAGTGTCCAAGGTCACCAGTGTTATGGCAGACACCCTCCTGCCCTTGGGTTTCCTCAGGAAGGGGACCAAGTTCCCACGGGGCTGCCACTGCCCGGGGCTGGAGCAGATGAGGCAGCGTAAGAAGGGAGGTGTCAGCCTGAACTGTCTGAGGGGTCTCCTGAGCCCAGCAGGGTTGTGGAACAACCAGTGCTGAAGAAAGCCTTGGTGACTGGAGCAGGGAGAGCTGAGAAAGACCATTCAAAGCAGAAGGCCCACCAGGATGGCACTGGGGAGGAGGAAGAGCAAAAGCCCTGAGCAGGTACTGGTGGCTCCAGACATGGGCTGATCCACATTTGTCTGTTCCGAGTTTGTCTCCATTTCTTCAGTGTCTGTCTGCATTTCTTCAGTGTCCAGGGCACCTGCTGAAAGAAGAGAAGAAAACATGGAGTTAGAGGGGAAGACCTGGACAGAGGAGGAACTCCCACTCATGCAGGTCTGTCAGTGATGTGCCCCCAGGCACCGCGGGGCAGCAGAGCTCCAGTCCAGGGGAGGTGTGACAGCCCGTGGGTTAGTGGGAGCAGGCTGCAAACAAGACCATGCTTCAGGGGCCAGACATCCAACCAGCCCCTCAGTGTTAGAGGAAAGAGTGAGGAAGAGGCCACGTATGAGAGGGGGATCCAAAGGACCAGTCTGACACTGTTCCTCCCAAGCCCTCTCCATGCTGCTTGGGGATCACTGCATGTCCGAGTGTCCGTGCCAGCACAGACTCCACGGATACCTTACCTGACAGGGAGGTCTGGAAATGGGGGCTCTGCCCTTTTCTTTCTTTGGAGGATGATGTTAAGCGCAAGAAGGTGGGCTCTTCAGGGCTGAGGACCACTGACTTTGAGGGGGTTATGAGCTCAGCTCTATTGAAACCTAACTTGATCCCTGGAACAACTTGGCTGAGGGACGGAGGTGGACTGGAAAAGGCTGATTTCTCTTTCCCATCCTCTTTGACACCTTTCCTTGTTTCTGGGACTGATCTGGGGCTGACGGCTGTGCCCCTGCTTTCTAATAAGGCTGGATTCTCTGTAGTGAAGGAGCTAACAGGCTCTCCAGTGTCTACCTCTGCCTGTTAAGATTATAATCCAGGTCTAACATGGGCTCAAAGGAAAGAGTTACCCCGGCTGCCTCAGAAGGATCAGGTCTTCCTGGTTCTGGTTTTGTGGTAGTGGCAGCTTTTGGTTGTGTCTTTGCTGTTGTGGCAGGTGTTGGTGTTGTAGCAGCAGGTGTTGGCTTGGCTGTAGTGGTGGTAGATTTTGGTGTAGCAGCAGGTGTTGGTTTGGTTTGTGTGGTGGGTGTTGGCCTGGCTGTGGTTGTACCAGGTTTTGACGTAGCCAAAGCCGGAGTGGGTTTTGATGTGGTGGGTGTTGGTTTGGTCATAGCTGTGGTTGGTTTTGGCTTGGCTGTAGTGGTGGTTGTGGTGGGTTTTGGTGTGGTGGGTGTTGGCTTGGTCATAGCTGTGGTTGGTTTTGGCTTGGCTGCAGTGGTGGTTGTGGTGGGTTTTGGTGTGGTGGGTGTTGGCTTGGTCATAGCTGTGGTTGGTTTTGGCTTGGCTGCAGTGGTGGTTGTGGTGGGTTTTGGTGTGGTGGGTGTTGGTTTGG